TTTTCCCCTTGCGATGAGAATTTTTAGGATTACTCTCTCAGCAGCTGTTAGGTATGCAGGATAGCGCCATTGCCTCTTTCTGCCAGGCTCTTCATTACCCCCTCCTCACCTTCATCCTTTTATTCTTCTGTTTTTGTGGCTATATCCGGTGGTGTTGGTGCCAGGGTGGGGAGGCCTCCTGTGTGCAGACTCTGCCTGTTGAGCTCTCTCTCTGCCCCCCACGCCCGACTTGACCTTATACCTGGAAATTTGTGCCTTTTGACTCTCACAACAAAACGTCTTAAGTTTTGATCATCAAAGATTATTGTGAAGCTGTAAGAAAGAAGCTTTAAATGAAAGTGGCAGAACCAACCAAACGTTGATTAATCTAATCATTTTTCTTCTTTTATCTTGCAGCAACGCACCTCTTGCTTTTTCTTCCAAAGTATGTTATGTTAAGTTTCGTGACCCATCAAGTGTTGGCGTGGCCCAGCATCTAACTAACACGGTTTTTATTGACAGAGCTCTGATAGTTGTTCCTTGTGCAGAAGGTTGGTATCTCACATGTTTTTTGCTATTATTTTAAATTCTGTCCTGTCTGTTACTATTTTTCTAGAAATTGGCAGGTACATAAATGTGTGTTTGTATAGAAGAATGAGATTTGGAGCAGAGATTTTACCTAATAAGCTATATTAACAGGTTAACTAAATATTTAAGTCTTAGATTTTATGGCTGATCATTAAAAAGTTCATAAATTCTTTGGTTTCACAGGATTACTTTGGCTTTCTGTAATTTACAAGTTTTAAAGAAAGCTGTCTAAAATTAAATTTGGTAAGGAAATGATTTTAACTGGGTAAATAAGTTAGCCTTTGCTCCTGTGTGAACAGTATTAATGATAGCACATAAATAGAAATATACACATTTTTTCAAATTGGGGTTAACTGATTCTGATAAGAAAACTATTCTTAATTTAAGTACTACCTTATGATAATTTACCTTATTGCTACAGAGACCATTATTTCTTTTTTACTATAATTGGCACGCAACTGGGTTTTTTTTTATTGACTTTTTAAGGGAAAAAAATCTTATAATTAAGAGAAAAATCATGGAAAGCTATTTTTTAAAGCTGCTGGTAAAATAATTGCTAAAGATGAGAATAGGACCAAAAGCCTTATTTTTGTTAAATTTTGTAATAAGACCTGTTTTAATAGCTAATTATTACTAATATTAATGTTTTAAGGAAAATTCTGTCTGTTTGCAGAGCCACTTATCTATAATAGGCTGTGCTGAGTTTGACAGTTCTGGTGTGTTAATACATTTATTCAGAGCACTTGACTATGCCATATGTACACTGATTTTTTTTAATTGGGTTATTATAATTTAAATGTCTTTAAGACGTTTTCACTGGTGGATGGTGATAAATATTCAGCAACATCAAGTTGAATGAACTTTCGTGTTTTAAAAGCTCGTAGAAACTGGGCTAACAATTAAAATAACTTTACAAATAATAAGCAGAGTGCTGGACTTTTTTCAGTGTTTCATGTTTATTTCAGGATATCTATTCTGGGATATAAAAAAATAAATTAGATTTAGCAAGTAACCATTCTGTTATTTTTGAAGTCCCAGAATAGGCCATTCTGGATATTTTTCAGATAAAATGGGAGGGTATTTTTTCCATGCTCAAGTCAGAGAGGGAAGAATGAAAAAGGATTGAAGTTATTTACCAGCACAATCTGTCTTTTTGTGATTTATAAGGGGGTCATATATGGGGTCCCAGAAATGGAGAGCAAGCTGGATGAGAGCTTATAATGGTTTAATTCTGCATCCCAAGCTCAAACTATTTTACACCAAGTAAACTGCGTGGGAAAAAGGAAATCACAGGGTTTATAAAATCGAAATATTATATCATAAAATTAAACCACCACCAACACATGACTTGATTATAGTGTGTTCATAAGAGAAATGGAAGAAGAATTTATTGGTGTTGCCCTGTTGGAACGTTTCTACATTCCCACAGAATTTTTCATACATCTGAGAAAACTCTTGAGTTACAAACATTAAGGTTCGGGCATGTAGAGTTTCCTTTTAAAATTTGTTTTACTTGATAGAAATGAATAAATGCAGATTTATTATAATAGCTTTAAAATGCTTTTAATTCTGTGATTTTGATGGCTGTTACTCTGAGCATAAAAATTCAAGTGTATCTTTATTAAAATTTGGTTATGTCTTTTAATAGAACACTGACCTATCAAATAATTGGTATTAGAAAAGCTCTCAGATATGTATTTTCGTTGGCTAAATAGCAGATCAATTTATGGAACCTGAAGAATATCACAGGGAGCTGTTAAAGATCTGATCATGCACTGCAAGCAAAGTTTTATTTTAATGTATTATTACGCTAAAATCTGGCAAAGTGAGTTTGTAATAAACCAGAGGAATGAGTTCTAGGAAAGTAAGTTTTGTGAGAGACGTACTGTACTGTAAGCAGCCATCTATTCACGTCACTGACTGCATTGATGTTACAGAAACAGCATTGTGAAAGAAATGAGAAAACCGTAGGAAAATTTTAGGAAAAGTTTTTTCAGTTTCTTTCAATTTGCTGTTTTTTTTATTGCAGACAGCATTGTGAGAAGATCCTAAGCTGTGTAAATAAGGTTTGATGTGTAATAGTTGATACATATTAAACATTAGCTATTGTTAAAGCCATTTCAAAGTAAAATATACTTTCATTATACTCATCCAAATCTGACCTCTTTTTGTTGTTGCGTGCATCTCAGATTTCTTTTTATAAATGTTAACACTTAGAAAAAGATACGGTCAGACGTAATAGCATGGGTGTCAGCCTAATCATCAGTCATAACTTTATGTCCACATTTTCTGGTAGATGGATTTTGACTATTAATTTGGTTTTGTATGTTTTCTCTGTGTGATATTTGTGCATTATTAGATGACTAGACTGGCCAAGGCAGACCTGTTACACTTGCCTGAGTTAGGCCTTGTTTGCCATGCCATAAGCCTGCCGCCAAGTGAAACCTTCATTGGGGAAATGAGATCGGAGTCTGAACCGCAGAAGATGGACGCCCTGTCTCTGTTTTTTATTGTTTTGCTTTAATTTCCTTTTCTTTTCTTTATTTTGTCCCTTTTTTGTTTTTGTTTTTGTTTTTTGTTTTGTTAAATCTCTTTCACTTGAACTCGCGAGCTGGTTTTCCAGTTCTTTGTAAATGGTATTCCATTAAGGTTTCGTGACATTGCAATGCAAATTATATCGGGAGGTGGTCAGAAGAGCCCAACCTTAATATCAAATACATTTCATGCAGTAAATTCGAATACAGTGTTGGGGGCCCAGTATGATTTTAAGTGGTGTTTATGGACTAGTAGGGTACATTTTATTCTTGAAACAGGGAACAGTGACGGTGTCAGGACCACCTTCTAATCTTAGTGCTACGTGGTCGCAGCCTCCCCTTCCCCCAAGTCTATACATTCCCCTTAGAATTTAGGATCTAGGGAAAGGGTAAAATTTTAAAAACAATAGTGGGGTACAAAATAAGAAGAGACTCTCACTTTTATGACGAATAATTGCAGATGAACATTTATTTCCTTAACTTAAAGAATCAGTTGCCTGTGTGGGGAATGAAAATCTGAGAAATTGTTGATCATTTGCATTTGTGTTCACTGTTTGCTTGAATTTTTTGTTGAAAAATATTTAGAAAAATATTTAGAGGTTACTGACTTCTAAGTTGATCCAGAGATTGGGACTAATATTTTATTACTGTGAAAGATAATGCTTTTCCTTGGTTGTCCTTGAGAAGTACAGTTTGGGAAAAATGCTAAATGCCTGTTTACGATTCTATATACTTCTGTCGCATTTGTAGGGTCAATTAAAGACATTTTGTCTTGGAAGTCAAAGTGAGATTTTTTTCTTCTAAAAGTATCTTTCGTATTAAGATGTATCAAGAGATTTAAATTTGTGATAATTTACTACTGTGAGAAGCAGCGTCAGGCAGTTTACTAATTATTTTTAAGCTAAAATGAAGAAGTTTCACCTGTATTTTTGGATAGTCTTTGTTTATATAGTTTTTCTATACTGTTTGTATGGATAATTTTGCTGATTTAATTGACAAGTAAGGTGACATTGCTAGATTAAATCTTTTAAATGTATAAATTAGGGTTTGCACATTAGAAATTTGGTTGACTTTTTTCAAGGTGTGCTCAGTTTTTAGACATTTGAAAAGTACCTGTTTTTAGCAGATGAAGCTGGTCTGATAGCAATATAAATAGTTAAAAAGTGGATGTACAGCTAAATGTAAAAAAATAGTAACTAATACAAAGTAGTTTTATGTCTGCAGTAGTCTACCTTTTATTTATCTTAATGCATGTTTTAAAATCTGCTTTTAGAATTTACTTTGAGATAAGTAATTTTAGATTAGTAAACTAAACTAATTTACTAATTATTTTTAATAGTGGTTAGAAAGTGGTTAGAAAGCTTTAAAAAAGTAGGTTTTTGCTAATGTAATTTTTATGTTTCTATAAATAAGGTATAAACCATTCTTTAAATGAAATTTTAAAATTCATCTTGACTTCTCTTTGTATTTAGAGATAATTTGGATAATAATGTTTAGAAATTTATTCCTACACGTCTGGTTATTTTAAATAGATTTTTACCACAAGACCCCAGTCTGGTGCTTTGGGAAATTTACTTCGTTTGCTCCTTTCAGTTTAGCATGATATTATTGTACAGTTTTAAATTACTTTTGAAAATTCAAAATGATATTGCATAGTCAGCTAGCATATAATACAAACAATAATTATAAAATAACTATATATTGTTAGCTTTTAAAGAAATTTGGGGGGTGGGTGGGATAGGTAAGAGAAGACCAGGGGGGAAAATGTGTGAAAATTGCAGTCTTTATTAGAATTAATTGTATTTCATTAATATGAAGTGTTAATTTGAGTAAAGTCTTCATTTTTTAGCCATTGTTTAAGTCATAGGAATTAAGTAAATTTTTTAGCCATTGTTTAGTCATAGGAATTAGTGTCTAAGGTTATTTTAGTGGAGTTGTTAGGCAATTTAAATGTTTATAAGCAAACCGTTTAGGCATTAACGACCCCTCTTCAAATAAGTATACATGAATTTATTCTAAAGTTAGTAGTGTAAAAAGATGACTGAGAATAGGGAGCTTTTTTGGTTAATCATGCTTGAAAATGTTAGCGTTCACAGAGGCATTTTCTTGGGAACTGAATTTTTGGGGCACCTCTATTGTTGGTGAGTTGCCATATAAATGAAACAAGTGAAAGCCTCTGTTGAAGCTGTTAAGTTGCTGTAGGCTTTAGTTTTTTTCTTCTGTCTACTTGAATTGAGTCTTTAGGAATATTATCAAAATTGTTTGCACCACAAGTAGGTAGTTTCAGTAACAGGAGCACTCGGTGAGGGACAAATTTCAATTCGCACATATTTGTTTTTTCTTTTTCTTTTTTTTGACTAATTTGGTTATTTGCCATTTCTGGGGATTAAACTTTAAAAAATGTTCTTCTTTTCTGTATCTGATGTTCTGTGTGCTATTAGTGATGCAGCCAACACGAACGGTTGTCATGTGTAACACAACTTTCGATCACCGCGAAAACACCGTCCTGGGAAAGCGTCCATGCTTGATATCGTTTGGTTCATGAACATTAAGTTTCCAGTACAGGTGACCCATAGCTCAAAGTGTTAAATAATTGTCTACATTATTCAATTTTTAAAATAATATTCCATTAATGAGATTGCTAGTCTTTGAAATTTTGCTCACTTTTATTTTTCCTGGTAGAGCAGGATAAAAGGAAAGACTTAAGTTCTTATTTATTTCTTTATTCGGATCTGATAGATAGATTCATTTATTATTATAATTCTTTTTTTAAGTACAAGGGTAATTGTAAAATCATAGTGTAAAAGTAAAAGTTTGTGTGGTGTTTCTGCTTTTTGTAATGTCTGAAACTTGCCTCCGCAGGTAAAATCCCAGAGGAATCCAAAGCCCTCTCTTTACTAGCCCCTGCACCAACCATGACAAGCCTGATGCCCGGTGCGGGCTTGCTTCCCATACCCACTCCGAATCCCCTGACCACAGTAAGTGCCATTCGCATCATCCGGAAATTGGGGGTGAACACTCGGCCACGTAAAAAAAGCCACCGAATAAAGAGTTGGGCACATGTTTGTTTTTCTTGTTTCTTTTATGTTCTTTGTATTTCTGATTATTATTTTTTAATGGAGAGGAAATGTCTACCTAATTTCACTCCCCTCCCCCCATATAATCACGGACCGAAGATTTTTTGAGTTGACTCGCTGTCAGATACACAGTTCAAAAGTTGTTCGTGATTGAGTTCAGTCATGTCATGGTTCAGCACCCATCTCTTCCTAGTGTCCCTTCCCCCAGCCTACCTTGATGACAGACAATTTTCTCCTCTCCCTCCTCCTCTTCCTCCGCTTTCTACCTCATCCTTTCCTTCCTCCTCCCCTTTTAGGAACTCAGGTTTGCGTTGCCCTTACAAAGATTATCACGAATGTCAGTTTCCCTCCCTCAGCACCCAGTTCTCATCACTGACTTTTAACTGCCTTTTGGAATGGGGGAATTGTGAAGTGATTGGGGATTCATTTATATTTGAGAACTGAAGTAGATTATTCATTAGAAAATTGCTTTCTGGAACTTAGCATTTCAGATAGCATGAGGAATTGGGATAATTGTTGCCATATTTCTTAATTTATGACGATTACATGCATTTAAATTAAATGATCCACAACCTTGGTAACAGGAGAAAATATCTTAGCAGCAGCTTTCTGATACTGGAAAAATGTAACAAGGTAAACATATGACAGGAAAATTTTTTCATTGTGTAGAATTGAGTGATGCCACCAGTAGATGGAAAGTCAAAGACTCGATGGTTATTGGGCCCTTGGTTTTTAGATAAAAGATCCTGTTCTGTTTTTAAGAAGAGTCCATTTTCTTCCCAAAGAATCCAAAGCAAAGGTAAAACTCAATTCAAATCAGGCTCTGCGGTGCAGGATTATTAAGGAGGGAACATTTTGTTGCTTATTTGCTTCTGGACCCTACCAGAGGTCCTTGATCCTCCAGTGCTGCGTGCTGCCTTCTTTTGTTAAGCAGAATAGCAATGAACTCCTGACTTAGTCTTGAAAATTTCATTACTGGAGTAAAGTTTACTGTGATTTCTTTCCTGACTGTCACCATCTTTGGAAAGCTTCTATTTCAGAAGTTTTGTGATTCACTTCACTTTGTTGGAGAACCTTGCCTTGGAGGCATCACACCCGTACGTTTGCACCTGTGTGCGAGCAGTCTTGTTTTGAAGCTGTGTTCAGTGGCTCTGCCTGTATCACGTAGGCCCTGCTCGTCTTGGCTCAGCCTCGAGTCCTTTTCTAATTATGGAGTGCCTAGCTGTTTTTTCCTTTATGCTTCACTGTTTATTACATCAGTGCATTTTTGGTATTCCTTGGTAGAATTTCTGCAGTTTATGTTAGTGTCAAATTGATAAATGGTTTGAGATTTGAATTTTTTTTTCTTCTGGGAGGGGAGGGGAGGGGACATGCTCAGGGCACCTGGAAGTGTTCAGGGCTTCTGGTTCTCCTCAGGGATCTCTCCTGGTGGGACTTGGGGACTATATGAGGTGCCAGCGATTAACAAGGCAAACACCTTACCCATTGTACTGTTGCTCTGGCCCCAGTTTGGGAGTTTTTCTTTTGGCCTCCCACGCAGTCCTCCGGAGGTCTGGGGACTATGCTGATGATTCGTGGCCTCCTGGATGGCAGGTCAGTGTAGGGTCTCAGGATGCTCTGGCTTTCCAGGCTCTGTGGTAACAGGGATTCCTGGGCTACTCCTCGGCCTCACTCTGCTGTACTTGGGACCTACCAGGCCTGTACCCAGTGAGGCTCAGAGAACATGTGGTGCCAGGAACAAACTATCTCTCAGTTACCAAATTATCTCCCAGCCTCAATATTTTGAGGTTTATACTTAACTGTTGCAAGTAGGTGAAGATCAGCTGATTGGCAGGAACAAATCGGAGGATGCCTGTATTGTGGATGAGCTGCATTTCAACACTGTTCTACTTTGTGTATTGTTTATATTGCCCAAAAGTTGCTCAGTGTGTTCAGTGCCCTCTCCCCCTCGACTCCCTTCTACTCTTTTTTTAAAAATTTTATTTATTTATTTTTTGGGTTTTACCTGGCAATGCACAGGGGTTATTCCTGGCTTTGCACTGAGGAATTACTCCTGGCGGTGCTCAGGGGACCATATGGGATGCTGGGAATCGAACCCGGGTCGGTCGCATGCAAGGCAAACGCCCTACCCGCGGTGCTATAGCTCCAGTCCCTTGACTCCCTTTTTCTCTTTCTTTATCCCTCCTCCTTTCTTCCCTCCCTCCCCTTTCTTTTTTGGGCTCTCCCAAGCAATGTTTAGAAGACTTGGAGGCCATTCTCTGCTTTAATTGGCTTGGGACCCACTGCCTCTGTGGCTGATGGTGGGGACATGCAGTGTGGGGATTGAACTAAGGACCTTTTGTCTCCCTTGTCCTCATATACTATCTTAACGGAAACTACTAGTTTCAGTATTAGACAAGAATTTTACAGTAAAGGTCTGCTCGGAACAAACACGACAAAAGCACAAGTCAGGTGCAGTCTTGGAAACCCTTTTGTACCACTGGGGTGACCCAGGTAATCCCTGGTACTGCAGGGCCTGACTGTGCTGCATTCTCAGGCCTTGGCATTGAACTGCATTTCTAGTTGGCTAACATTGCCAGTGGGTTCCCAGGCCTTTGGGGCAATGCTTGGGTGTCCCCTAAAAAAATATGAGCTCAGATAAATGGTTCTTGATTTTTATGTCCCCAAGTTCTAGGACTAGACTCTGTATCATTTTCGTAATTTCTATAATTTGATAAAAGCTAGGATACATAATTTTGTGGTGCTCAGGGTTTACACCTGTCTATGCTCAGGGGTCAGTCCCGGTGGGGTTCTCCGGGCCACCATTTGCAGAGCCCAGGATCAGACTAGGCTTGGATACATGCAGGGCAAATGCCTTAACTGCTGTACTATTTCTCTGGTCCTAGAATACGTACTTTAAAATGTCTTTAATAGGGGATAGAGCATAAGACAGTGAGTAGGGCATTTGCCTTGCATGTACTGACCCAGGTTTGATCCCCAGCATCCCTTATGATCCCTTAAGCACCACTGGGAATAACCCCAGGTGTGCCCCCCCCCCCCCCAAAAAATAAATCCAAAGAACAAAGAACTTTCCAGTGTCATTGAAATTTATTACTGCAGTGCTGAAGTTTTTCGTAGTGGCTTGGAAATCATGAAAGTATCATGAAAATGTGCTGATTAAGGTAACTACTAATTTATAGTACTCTCTCATAGTTATACCACTATACATTTTTATCTGTTTCTGTGTAGTCTGATTTTGAGTTTGAAGTAATTTTGTAGTGATTCTATTGTTAAGAGAATACCATGTTTTCAAGTACTGTTTGCAGTATTGGATTTAAATGAAAGGAAAGAAAATGCAGTACCAATTATACTAGTGTTCTTCAGTCTCTCTATACCTGTGTACTGGCAGAGAGTATCGTGTTACAAAGTGCTGGCTGGAGTATGAAATATTAAATTTAAGCGAGAGGGAAGAAAATAGATTATTACTTATACATCTTGTGGACTTGAATGTGTCATGCATACCTTTTGGCAGTTACAACCAAGTGGCAAACCCTGGTTGTCAGCCTTTCTGTACCTTTGGACTGCACCTTTCTGCAGTCTGGACTGGTGGTTGAAGACCTTTGGGTTATACCATTTCCTCTTGGCATACTAACTTAAATCATTTCTTTAGCGGAAAAAGTTATTTTGTGAGCTGGACACAATTCATGGAATCTTTCTCTGCATAAAAATTAGTGTTAAGAGGCTGGAGAGAGAGTACTGGCATTAAGGCACTTCACAGCATATGGTCCTCTGAGCACAGCCCAGAGTATCTCAAGTATTACAGCTCAGATCTCTCCTCCCATCCAATCCTCCCTTCCCAAAAAAGATTGAGGGGCCAGAGTGGTAGTGCCAAGGGTAGGGAGCTATTTCCAGTTTTTATTTTAGGGAACTGGTGCTGGGGACTGCAGGAAGACACCCATTAGTATGCAGGCACCTCAGTGGCGACAGCCTGTGGTGCTTTGGGGAGGGGGGTGGGAGCCAGGGGTCTAATTCAGGCCCTAATGCATGCCCTGTTCTCCGTGTGCTGTCACTAAAGCCCTGAAAATGCTTTCTAATTAACAGCTCATTTGAGTTGGGCTTTTCTGAAAATTATACTTAATGTATTTTAACATTCTAATTTTTGGATGTCCTTTTTTCTGTCCGTAGAAAATGTTTTTGCTGTTTGTGAATATTTTCTCTTGATGTACTTGCATGAGTGATTCCCTAGTACTATAAATAAAGGGGTGTGTGTGGGGGAGGAGGGTTAGTTAGCAGTGATATTAAATTAATGTAGTTTGCTGCCTTGAGGGGAAACGGTTTCCTTTATATCCAGTTATATATAGTCGGTTACAAAACATAATTTGTGAAGAACATCTTTATTCATTCATTTATTAAAATTTTTTAATTTTGGATTTTTTTTTTTTCTTTTTGGGTCACACCCGGCGATGCATAGGGGTTACTCCTGCTCTGCACTCAGGAGTTACTCCTGGCGGTGCTCAGGGGACCATATGTGATGCTGGGAATCGAACCTGGGTCGGCTGCGTGCAAGGCAAACACCCTACCTGCTGTGCTATCACTCCAGCCCCAAGAACATCTTAATTTAAAAACAGGAAAGATGGCTTGTTTTGGTTTGGCTTCTGGATACCTCTCTGACCTTTTTATCTTACCTGTTTCTCTTGCTTATTCTACTTAGCTATGTTTATCTTATTTCATTGACATACCAAGTTTATTTCTGCCTTGGCTTTTGTATTCAACTCTTGCTAAAACTTTTTTCCATGGGGCTGGAGAGATTGTGTAGTGGGCAAGATTTTTTTCCTTGGCACGTGGCCAACCTGTGTTTGATCCTCAGCAGCCCATGTGGTCTCCTGAGCCCGGCCAGGAATGATTCCTGAGCAGGCAGGTGTGGCACTAAAACAAAACAAAGAAACACCATTTCGTTTTAGACCTTAAAAAGGTTAAGAGTGGAACCTTTAGTGAGGTTTCTGCTTATGGTTTCTGCTTGAAGTCTCACATTGTCAAGGGAGGCCAAGGTTTCTGTGTTAGAGGGGAAAATGTCACCTCTGGAGTCCCAGTCATCTTTGACCTTGAAAGACCAAAAGGGCGAACTAAATGCTTAGGTGCCAGAGTTAGAAATAGACCGAAGAAGGGTAGTCAGTTTTCCAGAGCAGCCTCATCCAGTAGAACTTTCTGCTGTGAGAGAAATGGCTGTATCTGTATTAACAAGTATAGTAGCCACGCGTGGTGAATGGCAGTTTGAAATATGACTAGTGTGACAGAGTTTAAATTTAAAACCCAAGAATTTGTAATTAATAAGTATATAGAAAAATGGTATAGTGAGTGAAGAACAAGTAAAAGTTTCCAAAACAGTTGAATTTTCAGTTTGGAAAACAAAGGTGTTGGATCAGATGATTTACTTTTCCAATTTAAAGTTCAGTTCATACTTGTATACAGTTGTGTTTCATAGTGAAGAAAAAGTTGATCTGATTTTTCATCTGTGCATCTTGCATCATAGAATACGGAGAGGCTGTGAGGGAGGAGTCTGATTATGAAAGCAATGCATGGGCAAAGTCATTGCTCAGAGCACAGAAGCCTTACAGAGAAGAGATCATTCCGCCATTGTTTGTTTTGGGGCCACACCTCGCTATGCTCATGGGTCACTCCTGACTGCACTCAGAAACTGCTTGTGGTTGTGCTCCGACTGCCATATGGGTTGTCAGGATTGAACCTGGATCAGCCCTTTCCAAGGCAAACACTATGTGCTCAACTATCGCTCCAACCCATTCCACCATTTTGAACTGAGTTAGTAACATGATAATTTGAAATGTTGTCAGTGAGCATCAGCTCTTACTATCTGCTAGTAGCAAGATGTATAGATTTTAATAAAAAACAGTTGACTTTGAAATAATGAGGGTTAAGGAGGTTGAACCCCAGTGAGACAGATAAATAGGTAAAATGCCCAGATAACTTTTTTGTTTTGTTTTGTTTTGTTTTTTGGACCACACGATGCTCTGGTGCTTGGGAGACCATATCAGGGTGCTGAGGATTGAACATAACTTGGTCTGCGCAAGGCAGGCACCCTACCTGCTGTATATCAATCATTCTGGCCCCATACACAGATAACTTTTGATTCTCTCAAAACCTAATTGCAGGGGTTCCTTGGTATTTGTGGGAGTTGGTTCAGGAGTCCCATGGACTCCAGAATCCAAAGATTTTAGCCTTTTAGTCCCTTTCAGCCTTCTAAATTCATTCTATAGTCATGGAATGGAGTCAACTACATCTGTGGTAGTTGGTTGAATTGATGGGTATAAAAGAGGATATAAAAGAAACTTCCAGTACTCATTCTTGATTTTCCTTTCATTATTGAGGTGACTGAGGTCGCACACATGTGGTTGTGTTTGCTCACGTGCTTGTTAGGGTTTGCACTCTTCAGTTATGGTTCTTATTCACTTGTGCACTGATGATCCTAAATAGTGAGATTGCACTCAGCCTGTGGGGTGTTGCTGGAGATTGAATTTGAGGTCTCACTTGCCGAAGTGGCACTTTGCCATTGAAACTGTCCCCAGTTCCTGCGCCCGTTTTTAAAAATCAGTATTAGGGAAGTGTGGTATTGGAACAATTATGCATGAAACCTTATCATCGGTGGTATCGTAAATCATGGTGACTAAAATAAAATTTGAAAGAAAAATATGTGTAAGAGCTCTAGATTTCACATGTGTGCTGGGGCATTTCTTCTCTGAATGAAAATAATATATATAATGGGGAGTAATGAAAGTAATTAAGGTAGGGAAAGTCTTTTGGAGGGGATTGATCTGAATCTGGCAGATGCTAGAGATCTCTTTAAGTAGAAGGAACACCAAAAGAAAATCCTAAGGTGGAGAAAAAGCATGCGTGGCAGCTAAGATTAGAGCAGCAGCCCATGTGGGGAAGCATAACGAAGGAGAGGGGAGAATAAAGCTTTGAAGGTTGGAGGGTCGAGAGGGCAGTGACTACGTAGAGCCTTTTGGAGCATAGAAAGGAGTTGGAATTTTGTTGCAAAGTTAATTTGAGTCATTGATGGGCTTTAAGCAGGTATACGACGTGATTTGATTTCATTTTATTTGAGCAATCTCTCTGGTCCTCGAATGATGAAATCTTGGAATTGCTTGGTATGTTTTAGGTGAGGTCAAAAGCGCTTTTCCTGTTTCAACTCCTGATGTTGTAAATGGTGTCCTTTTTGTGTTCTAGTCCTATAGTGCTGTGTGTGTTTGTTTCTGGTGATTCTGATCTAAAATCACAGCAGATTTAGTGCTAAAGTTCTGTCTAATGTTTTTAAGCAGGGAGGTTGTGAAGTCCCTTTCAGAAAAAATATGTGTTAGATAAGGTTTGCTCATGAAAAATGGCTATACATTAATGATTGGTGAAAATACGAGATTCATAAGAACCTAGCCCTGTTTCATCTGAAGAGTCATTGATTGCTAATTAAGTGTTTTTGGCATCTTTATAGCCCTTAAGTATTGGAAATAATGAGAACTTTCTGTTTTAGTGCCAGGTTAAGAAGTGTATACCTAGGAAGCTAAGAAATAATTCTTTCGATTACATTTAAAACTCCTGTGACCATTGCTCTTAATAATTTAGATATATGCCTGGCTTAAAGTTAAGAGCATTTAAGGCCCTCCCGTTGATCGTCGATTTGCTCGAGCGGGCCCAGTAACGTCTCCATTGGAGACTTTGTTGTTACTGTGTCTGGCATAGCGAATACTCTCGGTAGCTTGCCGGGCTCTCCGAGAGGGGCGGAGGAATCGAACTCGGGTCGGCCATGTTGGCCACTTGTAAGGCGAACGCCCTACCCGCTGTGCCATTTAGTTTTCTATTTTTCCTGAGTTGATAATTCTTTTACGATTAGAGAATGGTAATATTTGATACTAATAGAGCATCATTTGTTTTTTTACAGCTGGGTGTTTCACTTAGCAGCTTGGGAGCTATACCAACAGCAGCACTAGACCCCAATATCACATCTATTGGAGAGATTCCACAGCCTCCACTTATGGGAAATGTTGATCCTTCCAAAATTGATGAAATTAGGAGAACAGTCTATGTTGGCAATTTGAATTCCCAGGTAACTAAGAAATAGAGTGGTATAGTGCCCTTAAGTCTTTTCTTCCTCTTCAAAGAAAAAAGTGATTGATACAGTAATATCTGTCACCTTTTTTGAAGGATATGCATTATTAAAATAAAATTTGTTTTCTCAGACAACAACAGCTGATCAACTACTTGAATTTTTTAAACAAGTTGGAGAAGTGAAGTTTGTGCGAATGGCAGGTGATGAGACTCAGCCAACTCGGTTTGCTTTTGTGGAATTTGCAGACCAAAATTCTGTCCCAAGGGCCCTTGCTTTTAATGGAGTAATGTTTGGAGACAGGCCACTGAAGTAAGAAACCCTAAACAGAAATTTTAATGATTATGAAGACATTTAAGTATTTTTCATGCAATTAAGGCCTTTTCTCTCTTTATAGTGATTGGCAGTTTGTGGAAAGGAAAACTTTGCTGAGTGTAAATGAAAACATGCGATAAGGGCTGTTATCTTTGAAATAGTGTTGTATTTGAAGATTTTTCAAATTTTTAAGGTCTAATTATTAACATTATTTATGTACCCTACACAATGATTGTAGGTCTTTTTTTTTCTGTGGTTCTTTATTAACAAGTCAAGATTTTTGCATTATGACTAAACTAATGGGCAATTTAACATTGGGTTTAATTTAGGATATTCTATTAAACATCTAGGTAAATATAAAATTCCGGGAAGAAAATAAGTACTCTGATGTTTTAAGTTCTTAATTTTTCTGTTACTGTTTTCTGTGTGTTTGTTTCTTGGGTCATACCTAGCAGTGCTCAGGGATTACTCCTGGCCACTGAGGGTCTCAGTGGACCATAAGGGTTGTGAATCCAGGATGGCTGCTTGCAGGGCACATGCCCTACCCGCTGTACTACCTCTCCAGTCCTGGACATTTTTAGTGTTAGGTTTGTTCATATTCTCGTTTGCAAAATGGAAAATTGTAGCTTTTCAGTTACATAAGGTTGGGAATTCTGTTTCATGAAGATTAGTATGGAACAGTTAATCTGGATCACATAGGTAATTGCTATTGTCCTGTAGTTTGATCAGGATTTGATAAAGCAGTAATCATTGTTTCTAATTTTTGTCTTCCCAGTGTGGAATGGATTATGCAAATTCATTTACGTGTATCAGAGAAACCCCTCTTAGAGTAGGAGAAAAATTTTATCAGATACTTCCCACATTTGAAGCTGACTCGGATTTCATTAAATCTTCACAAAACACAGCTTCCTCTTCATCCTCCCAGGGTGCAGAAATTATTGACAGAATCTTATGAGAATAGAAATGATTTACTTTGATACTTTTGTCAACATTTTAATATAATTCTATATATTTTAATGTTCTGGTCTGTTCAAATTGTTAACGAAGTCAACTTTTTCCTGTACTTTTTGATCTGTTAGCAAGAGATAATGGCAGGTGATATAATCATGATTTTGTGGTTGTTTTTGATTATTCTGTATTTAGCTCTATCATTCTCAGTGTGCTTTTGAAATGTTCTCAAATTCATATATTTATATATTGTATAAGCATGCTTTGCAAAATATGGTGTATATTGGTGATATGCTAATATTTTCAATTTAGAATAAATCACTCCAACAATGCAATAGTAAAACCCCCTGAGATGACACCTCAGGCCGCTGCTAAGGAATTAGAAGAAGTAATGAAGCGAGTGCGAGAGGCTCAGTCATTTATCTCAGCAGCTATTGAACCAGGTAAGGCCAACAGTGTTGTTACACAGGTCACAGTTTAAGTTCATAGAGCCATAGAACTGGAAGGAATTTTAGAAATTATCTTGTCAGTGCCTTCATTTTAAAACAAGAAGACTGAAACTCAAGAAAGAGTAAGTGACTTAACTAGTGCTAAAGGTCAAAGGACTATTTAGCAAAAATATTTTCTCAGGACACTGAATCGAGGTATACCAGTCTTAATTTTTTTAGTAGCAAAACTGCTCAAAATTGATTTAAGACAAAGTAGGGATGTTATTGTGAAGCTAGAGAAAGATTAAGCAAGAATAAAATGTTACTAGATTTACATTGTTAGTTTAATTTTAAAAATAGAAAAAACTCATTTAGGAAAAATATTATTTTAGTAAGATCAAGGAATGCCTATCCAAACTTACATAATGCTAATTAAAATAATTTAAAGTTCGATTTGAAAAATAGGGTTTTGTGTTTCCACACATTTTCTAAATTAGTACTTAGAATGTAAGCTTCACTTCTAGGCAAATAACTGGAGAGAGGATTTAAAATCACTGTCATGAATTACAGACATGTTATAATCTTACGTTATGGCAGCAACAAAATATTACGAACAGCTGTTTATAATCATCTGGTTTATATGTACTGCTGCAGGGTGGCTGCACTCAACGAGTTTATGCAATGACTTTCTTGGATGTTTCTGAAGGATAATTGCACAGGAGGAGGATGTACAGAGAGTAGGCCCCTTGCACTATATGTGGTATATTCCACTTGTGCCTGATTATTAACTGGGATCTTTAGTTGTTCTGAGCTTACACTGCAAAGTGGTTTTTTCCTCCCAGAGTCTGGAAAGAGCACTGAAAGAAAAGGCGGTCGATCTCGTTCCCATACTCGTTCAAAATCCAGGTCTAGCTCAAAATCCCATTCTAGAAGGAAAAGATCACAGTCAAAACACAGGTAAGACTTTCTATTGTATTTTAACTTTTTTGTTTCGTCTTTAAGATAGTTAAGATTTTCTGAGTGTCTTTTTCCTTTGTGTCAGAATTTTCAGTGGTGTTTACCTGGAAAATAGTTTACCATTAAATACTGATTTAATTACAATACAGTATACTCAAGAATGAAATAATACCTTATTTTTGATACTTCAACTAATTTTCATGTTTAAAAGTTGATTTTCTATAGTTAAGGTGCCTTTCCCCCCCATTTTTTCTTGGAGCAAACCAGTCTATACAAAAAGACAGGAAACATTAAGACTCCTTATGGAGAAAGGGAAACAGTTATGGCAATAATTAATATGCTGGTGAATTTGCAGCTTTTTATTTTTGCTTTGTGCCATCCCTGGAGGTGCTCAGGGGCTATCCCTGACTTGGTGTAAGGCTTGGTGCAAGGGTGTTCCTACTGGTGCTGGGGCCTGGGATTGAACCCAGACCTCCTCCTGCATGCAGAGTTTGTGCTCTAGCCCTTTGAGCCATCTTCCCCACTCACTTGCGATCCCCTTGGACCCTCCCCACTTCATGAGCAAAGGACTACCGCCCTAGATCTTAGTTCCAAGTAGTGCCCTGTCTCCAGAGTCATGAGTAAATGGAAAAACTTTACAATTACACTAAGTAAAGTAAAGGTAATTACACTATTTTTTTTAAAATCTTTTCTCATGCTGAAAATCCATCCCAGGACTTCACACATTCAGGACACATGTGCTCTGCCACTGAGCCACATCCTCGGCCCCCAGATAGGGCATTTTAAGTCTTCAGTTTTCTCCACGAAAACCTCTTTCCTTCTTTGGAACCAATAACTTGTAGATTAGCTCTAGCTCGTTCGCTTAAGCTTTGTTTCTGTTCTGTTTATCTCACTCTGAACCTGGTTCTGTGATTTTAATTTTCTTTCCTTTATTTTTTGTGTATGGTGTGAAGAGGGCCTCAAGTGTAGGTTTGCCGATGCCATTTTATTTAGAAGCGCCATAATAAAATCATGTGTAAAGTTTATAGTCATTAAGCTGTGTTAATGTGAATATGCATATAGTGGATTTTAATAGCATGCTCTATATTCTAGTCATTTGTGTGGGGAAAAGGATGCATGGCTGTCTGTAGGCTGCGTAAGGTATTTGAGAGAGTTTGAGGGGAGGAATGGATCTTATGTTACCTAATCTTGGCGATTTGTTTTTATCTTTTTCTTTCTTGTGATGCTCCAAGGATGAATTTGGAAAATAAAATATTTTTACTGAATCTCGTAAACTCTAGTTGCAGCTTTTCATTGGTGTATATTTCTCACTTGTTTATTTGCAAAAATTTCGGGGAATATGATTTTACTCTCTTTATCCAAGAACTTAATAACATTAACAGTGAGGCAGATTCAAAGTGAAGAAATTGTTTATGTACAATAAATATAAGATAGTTTGGCGGAATTGAAGAAAGAAGTGGTTCAGCAACAGTTGTATTTGGACTGAGGGTATATATTTAGTATTGAAATACTGTATTTCCATAGTTACAGAATGTAGTGAAGGTAAGAGATAAAGGAAACAGAAAGTCCAGCTAAAAAATAACAATAATGTCTTTGAGAAAAAAAAAACCCACTAGTGACCTGGATCATCTATTTCTGAGATTATAAGAGCCTTGCTTCAAATATAGTATACTTTGAGTCTGATATAACATCATTTTGTAAGGCTGGAGAAAACAAAACTTGGTTAACATCACTTTGCATGATGTCTCTGTAAAGATGGATCTGTTCTTGTTTTTTAGTGTCAGTTTATCCAAAGTTTTCTTGGTTTTTATGTTAAAGTACATTTGGATGTTTTCCTTTTCAAAGGTTAGTGGGGAAGGTTAATTCAGTCTAAAATGAAGTTCTTAGTTTTTGCTTTTATTCATGGGGCCTAGATTTTGCTCACTGATCCCTTTGGATTGTTGTCTCAGAGCCTTACTCATAGACACAGTTACTTTGTTTCTTGTGTGTATCTATCTTACCCCAATGGCAAGTAGAAACACTTTCAGTTTTGTGTAAATTCACCAATGCACTGAAAGAGGCTGGGTTCTGTTTACAAGGGGGCCTGAGAATCACCTTTGAGCTGTAGATTTTGTAGGAACTGACAAAGCCCCTCAACTCCTGCAGTGGAGGGCGGTTACTTCTTGGCTTGCCCTGCTCGTCGGATTTGATACTCTCAGTTTTGGCCCCGATCCTGTCTCTTACCTTGTCATTGTCAGATGCTTCTTTCTAGAGCCACCTTCTCACTCATGCCCTGTTTTCTCCTTAAGAAGGGAGAAAATGTCACGAGGACCTTGGCTAGGAATTTGGGCGGGGTGGCGGAGGTGGGATGTTTACTACTTCTCCACATTTTTTAACATGTTTTTTTCATAGGACAGTGTTAGAAAAGGTGGGTAGAACTTTATCTTAAAGTTAAGTAACCTTTACAGACCAGCATAGGAAGTATAAGGCATTTTCTAATTGTTTTAATTGGAAACAACTGACTTACAAATGAACCTGATGCAACATAACGGTAAGTTGCCCTTTATTTACAGTTAATTTATATATGCGGTCTTGCATGTTATGCAAAGATAAGAACTGATAACAGTAGTTCATATTTTAAAAAATCTTTGGTTTGATTTGCATTTGACCTGAAGATTTTCACTCTCTTAATCAGAAACCTTGTAGACTAATGTATGTGAAACAGAGAAATTCAATTCAAATTAATGTTAAAAATAAAATATTTATTCTTTGGTGACTATCATATTCCAAGAATTTATAAATAAGGTGGAAAGCCGACTAATTGATTTTTATGTTACTATTATTTATTTATTTGTATTTTTGCTTGGTCAGTAGTTTCATTATTGTCTTTGTAAAATCTCCATTAAAAAATAATCACGATTTGGGGCTGGAGCTATAGCACAGCAGATAGGGTGTTTGCCTGGCATGCAGCTGATCCGGGTTCGATTCCCAGAATTCCATAGTCTCCCAAGCACCACCAAGAGTAATTCCTGAGTACATGAGCCAGGAGTAACCCCTGTGCATTGCCGGGTGTGACCCAAAAAGCAAAACCTTAAAAAAAATCATGGTTTGAATTTTGTTTTTCTTCTTTTAGCTCTCAAGAGCTGCTTATCTATTTTTATTTATTTTGTTTTGGGTCATACCCTGTATTTGCTCTTCTCTCTGCACTCAGGAATTTCTCCTGGTAGTGCACAGGGTGGGGGGGGGGGAACCATATGGAATGTCAGGAATCAAACCTGAGTTGGCATATGCGAGGCAAGCACCCCACCATTGTGCTATCTGTTTCCTGCCTATTTTTTTAAAAGACGTTCTTTAACTTTGGAAATTATCATTTTGAGGAAAACAAAAATTATATTCTTAAAGCTAAGTTAACTCCTTTTGTAAAGATTTGAATAAGTGCATAGAAGCAGTAGCCCTTAGAAACATTCTTACACAGCTGAAATGAATGCCATCTACATATAAAAACTGAACCACTCATTAATTACTATTGATGTCTGTATATGAACTAAAACTGATGTAAGTTTTCAAGTTTTGTCTTAATATCTACTTTCTGATTCTCAAGTCTTTTGGGAAAGAATTTTTGAACTAGATGATACTGCTTGGGTCACTCCCATAAGTGCTTGGTGCCACTCAGGGCCAGACCTATTGTGCTTGGGGCACCAGGGAAGAACTAAGATCTTGCACCTGCGAGGCATGTACGCTACCCTTTTGCAAATTGCTGGTCTGACCTTCTCTGAAGTTGTTGGTGATAAAGATTTCAATCCACTATTACTTCTTGGTTTAAAAATGAGGTATTAGGCCAGGAGGAGAGTTCAGTTTGTGTAGAAGACCTGCTTGGTGTGTGTGAGACCCTGTGTTTGACTCCTTATGCTTCAAAGCTCCCCTAAACACCACCATTGTGCCTGTTAGCTCCCTCTAATGGCCATGTGTAGCAATAGTGTGGCAATAGCTCAGCGGGTGGAGCGTTTGCCTTGCACACGGCCGGTCCAGGTTGGATTCGCGGCATCCCATGTGGTCCTCTGAGCACCGGCAGGAGTGGTTCCTGAGTGCAGAGCCAGGAGTAATCCCTGTACATCTCCAGCTCACTGTCATTGTCCTCCCGTTGTTCATCGATTTGCTTGAGCGGACCCAGTAACGTCTCCATCGTGAGACTTGTTGTTACTGTGTTTGGCATATTGAATTCGTCACCGGTAGCTTGACAGGCATCTCCGGGTGTGACCCAAAAAGCAAAAAAAAAAAAAGTTAATAATGGCCATGTGTAGCACTGTAGCACTGTCCTCCCGTTGTTCATCAATTTGCTCGAGTGGGCACCAGTAATGTCTCCGTTGTGAGACTTGTTACTGTTTTTGGCATATCGAATACACCACAGGGAGCTTGCTAGGCTTTGCCATGCAATTTAAATTTAACAAAAGTTTTGGAATTCAGATAAATGTGTAGGTTTTAAGTTCGTGTCAAAAAAGAAAAAATTAACTTTTGAGAAACATATTTTTACTAACTGAAAAGTGAATTGGAAAGCAAGATCTTGTTATTGAAAGTGATTTGGAGCTTTTCTGCTTTCATCGCATCCTATAAGCATTGGACTCGTTTTTCTCTCCTTTTTGTAGGAGCATTGCTGTTTATTCAGCCATTGATTAGGCTGATTGAAATGGGCATGAACTCCACTCGTTTTTTCTTTTAGTGAAAATCAGTTTTAATGACGCAAGCATGTGACCTTCAAAATCAGTTTTAGTTATATAAAGCATGTTTGGTGCATATTTATTTTGACTAAGGAGTAAAGGTATAATTTAAATTTTTGATGTATGTTGAGATTATGGAGGGAATTGAGGTTATTGGGGTTATTCAGGGAATTAAAGCTTTTGTTTATTTTTGGGCCATACCTGACAGTGCTCAGGGTTCACTAACCCGGCTCTGCACGCAAGTATTCCTCCTGGAAGGGCTCAGGGACCCACATGGGGTGCCAGGGATGGAACCCTGGTTGATTGCATGCAAACCAAGCACCTTACCTGCTCTGCTAACACTCCAGCATTCAGGGGAATTAACATTTTTAAGTTCTTATTCTGTGCCAGAGTCTGCTAGACATTTTCCACATATTACTTAATCCTCATGACAACTCACAGAGGTGTTAGTGTAGATGAAGGAACTCAGGCTTAGAGAAGTTAAGTGACTGGCTGAAATTCTCACAACTAGTGTTAGACGGAGCTGACTGTTAGAGCCAGATTGTTTGACTTCAAAGGCATGGAGTCTTGATCCGTTCTATTATTTTAGCTATGTACATTCTGTTCCATTATATATTAATATAATTCTAACAGAAAAAATACCACATTACATAAGCAGTTATTTCTCTGGGGAAAAGTCTAGAGAATTTTAGGGTTGGAATATCAGTTTCTTTCACTAATTCCATTAATTAAGGGTTTTTTGTTTTAATAGCTATGTTTATGTAGTTACTAAATCAAGGCTTGCAAATCCAGCATTTGATTATATCTGATCTTAGCTCATAAGTAATGTTGTCCATTTTCTTCTCCAGCATAATCATTGGTACCATGCTTTCTCAAGCATTTTATGTTAGGACAAGCAACAGTCTGCCCCTTTAGAAAATGTTGAATCACGAAGGTACTATTTTCTGTCAAGATAAGTTGTGACCACAAGTAGTTCCATTTCAGGAAAGTTAGAGTTGCGATAATTTGTGGTATAAAAACTTGGGCAGTAGAAAAATCTTTATAATTCAGCCCAGAGCATTACATAATAGAGAATTTAAAAATAATAGTAAATACAGTCAGTATACATTTTAGAAATCTTATTTGAAAATTTTCTGAAAATGAATAGTTTTGACATTCTAAAAATTTGTTTTGCTTTAGGAGTAGATCCCATAATAGATCACGCTCAAGACCAAAAGATAGACGAAGATCTAAGAGCCCACATAAGAAGCGCTCTAAATCCAGGGAGAGACGGAAGTCAAGGAGCCCATCACATTCACGGTGAGTGTTCGTGGTTCTGTGAAAAATCTGCTATGATGTGTGCTTGCTTTGTTGTATAGACATGCATTCTAGTGTTGGGTACTAGACTTTTGGTGAGATTAATGAAGTTTTTTTCTCAAAAAACTCCATTAATTATTATTAATGAATAACTGCTCACTATTGATTTGATTCTGATAGTAATTCTGGCACAGAAAAATTCCAAACTCAGCCTAGCCAGTTGATTCAGTAACTTTTTTTTTTTTTTGCTATTTGAGTCACACCTGGTGATGCACAGGGGTTACTCCTGGCTCTGCACTCAGGAGTTACTCCTGGCGGTGCTCAGGGAACCATATGGGATGCTGGGGATTGAACCCGGGTTGGCTGTGTGCAAGGCAAACGCCCTACCCATTGTGCTATCTCTCCAGCCCTAATTCAGTAACTTTATATCACTGTCACTGTCCTCCCGTTGTTCATCGATTTTCTCGAGCGGGACCAGTAACGTCTCCATCGTGAGACTTGTTACTGTGTCTGGCATATCGAATACTCACGGGGAGCTTGCCAGGCTCTGCCGCGCGGGCGAGATACTCTCGGTAGCTTGCCGGGCTCTCCGAGAGGGGCGGAGGAATCGAACTCGGGTCGGCCATGTTGGCTGCGTGCAAGGCAAACGCCCTACCGCTGTGCTATCGCTCCAGCCCAACTTTATATATAAGAGTTAAATAGAAATTTATATGTGATGTCTATGCAATTACACATTCTTATATGTTGATAATTGTTGAGAAGGAGAAGGGAGGTTCTTTTGGGGGAGTAGAATTACTTTAGTTGTGAATTTATTTTTGTTTATTTTTAAAGGGACAAGAGAAAGGACACCCGAGAAAAAAACAAGGAAAAGGAAAGAGTAAAAGAAAAAGATAGAGAAAAGGAAAGGGAAAAAGAAAGAGACAGGGAAAAGGAACGAGAAAAGGAAAAAGAACGGGGTAAAAACAAAGATAAAGACCGAGACAAAGAGCGGGAAAAAGATCGAGAAAAAGACAAGGAAAAGGACAGAGAAAGAGAGCGGGAAAAAGATCACGAAAAAGAGCGAGACAAAGAGAAAGAAAAGGAACAGGACAAAGACAAAGAACGAGAGAAGGACAGATCCAAAGAGGTAGATGAGAAAAGAAAGAAGGATAAGAAATCCAGAACACCACCCAGAAGCTACAATGCATCACGAAGATCTCGTAGTTCCAGCAGGTTTGATTATGTTTATCATTTTTCCAAGTTGTTTACTCATAACACATCGTAGAAGGGAAAAGATGATTCTGTAGCAGTATAGTAAAACATAATGTTAGCATTTTCTTCTGATTTCAGAGAAGAAATTTCTCTGGTATAGGGGTTGTTGTTCCAGTATTGGTCTTATGTGGAGAAAGGTATTATTTGGCAAAAATAATTCGAGGGGTGCTGGGGATTGGACCCAGGTCAGCAAGTCAGCTGCATTCAAGGCAAATGCCCTACCTGTAATACTTAATTGCTCTGGCCCCAGAATAAGTTGAAAACTTTTACCGCTCTTTTAACTTATGGGGGCAGCAACAGGTGCCGTTTCTGCTGCTGCTGCTCTTCCACTTAATTCTGGAGGGTGAGCTGACAGGAGCATTTCGTTTTCTTTCTTTTTAAATATAAAAGAATCTGAGACTTGTACAGTTCTTAAGAATAAGGTGGTGACTTTTATTCTTACTTTGGACAACCTGGCACTCTACCGAATGTTACCTGCCCACATGGCAGAGTCTGGCAAACTCCCCGTGGCGTACCCAGTATGCCAAATACCAGTAACAATGATGGGTCTCATTCTCCTGACCCTGAAAGTGCCTTGAATATGGCACTTTTTAAAATCTCAGGGCTAGAACGAATGAGACGTTACTGGGGCCTGCTCGAGGCAATCGACGAACAACAGGATGATCGTGATCGATCGTGAAGGTGGTGACTTGTAATATCAAAATGATTTCTAGGGCCAGAGCAGTGGTATAGGAGGTCAGGTGCTTGTGTAAGTTAAGATCAGCCGAGCCCGGTTTGATCTCCAGCACATATGTGGTTGGGTGTCATGTTGAGCACAGAGCCAGCAATAGCTCCTGAGCACTACTGGGTGTATCCTCCTCTCCACAAGCAAAACAAAACAAAACAAAAAGGAGAATCTGTTTTGTTATCTAAACTCACCCTTGTTTTATTTTGAGGGAGAATGATTTTAGCTGGCAGTCTCAGTTCAGCACCAAAAAGGCTGATCCCTGAGTTCGGTAAAACAAGCGTTTTTATACATCCCCTGTCAAGACGAGACCATTACCAGTGACAGCTTTGTGATAGCCTGACGTTGCTTGTAACACCCTGTCATCTGGGGTTGTGGAGCCAGTTATCTGCAGCAACAAGTGTTGCAACTCCAGCTTGCTCCATCCTCAGGCCCCATTGCGGTTAGACAACAGCTTCTGCTGTCGCATCTTAACCTGTCTCCCAAGCACCCAGGAACTGGAGAAAGGATAATTTCGCAGTCTCCACTCCCAGCTAAGTTGACTATAGCAAGAAGTTGTGTTTTTGTTTGTTCGTTTTGTACAAAGAAAGTTTTCATCGAAACTCACTTAGAAAGATGGTAAAGGAGAAAGAGGAAGAAGTGTGTGGTTAAGAGACAACAAAAGCTGCTCCAGAGTGAAAATAGGCAGTCAGAGAGACAGGCATGAAAGAGACGCGCTCAAGGGAGAACAGCACAGTCTTGAAGCCAATCCTCTGTGCTAATTTTTAATGGTTTTTTGTTTTGTTTTTGTCTTTGAGCCACACCAGGTGGTTCTCAGGACTTTCTCCTGGCTTTGTGCTCAAGGATCTCTCCTGGTGGTTCTGTGGAGCATATGGGATGTTGAGAACCAAACCTGGATTGGCCACATGCAAGGCAAATGCTCGACCCACTGTACTGTCGCTTTGGCCCCATTGCTTTTTTTTTTTTTTTAATGAATGGTATTTTGTCAGTTTTAGGGATTTGATTATTTTTTTCAGGATGTTTTCTCAGTTTATTAATAGGTATACTGCCACCAGGTGGCAGTGGCTTGCCATTGGAAAGCTCAAAGTGAGAACTTCTAACTCAAGATGATATGATTCCAGATGATACTTTGACTATATACATGGACATTCCTAATGCATTCAATATGCCTTTAAATACTAAAAGATTATATTTTAGTAAGTTTTGAGCTGTAGTTTTAAAGAGTGAGGCACGGTGACAAAGCAGTCTATATCCTACTTTTAAACTTTGTGTTCTAATATTTTATTTTCCTTTTTGAGGGCGGCACATGTGAAAGTGCTCAGGTGGGGGGACTGGAGCAACAGCATCGCAGATAGGGCAGTTGCCTCGCACGCGGCCAACCCAGGTTCAGTTCCCAGCATCCCAAATGGGACACACACGGTGCAAGCGCCTTTCTCACTAAGCTGCTTGCCACCGCCCCCTGCCCCTTCTGTTTTAAAACATAAGGAACCTGAAGCCTTTTTTTTTTCCTGCTTTTTGGGTCACACCCGGCAATGCACAGGGGTTACTCCTGGCTCTGCACTCAGGAGATATTCCTCGCGGTGCGCAGGGGACCATGTGGAATGCTGGGAATTGAACCGGGTCGACCGCGTGCAAGGCAAACGCCCTCCCCGCTGTGCTGTCTCTCCAGCCCTGAACCTGAAGCTTTTATGAAAATTTTCATAGGCTCTGTACTTCAGTATCAAGAGTATAGTGGCACCTTTTCTACGTTTTAAGAGATTACGTTTGAAAGTCCGTATCAGGACATGTTACTTGCCTTATTTATTTATTTTAATTGGTTTTGGGGCCACACCTGGCAGGCTGAGAGGCCCCTTTGGGGTGTTGGGCATCAAATCTGTGTTGGCTGCGTGCAAGGCAAGTGTCTTACCTTCTGTACCATCTCTCCAGCCCCTGATGACTTTGAAACTAAACTTTTTTTCTTCAAATATTGGAAAGTTGCATGGTACATAAGTTCAAAGACTCTCAGTCTAAGTTATAATAGCAAATATAAACTCCTGGGAACTGCCTGGCTAATAGTGACAAACGTCCTAGATTAATGCAGCAGCAGCTTGGAATGTTGTATGCTTTCAGAAGAACTCGGTCAGGAGTTGCAGCTTCTTTAAGCTTTGTATATATATATATATATTTTTTTTTTCCAACTCTAGACACTGTGGTTTACTAAGCTGTTATAGTACACTTGTTTGGGGGCATTCAGTATTCCAACAACAATTCCACCACCACTGTGACTTTCCCTCCACAGTTTTCCCAGTTTGCCACCTACCCCCCATCCCTGCTCCCTTGGCAGGAACAAAATAATGTATTTTATGTTGTCTGTTACAAAAAATTGGTAAGTGGAATTACCTAGAAGTAGCTGAGTAAAAGAAAGCTTGTCAAAGTTGTTATATCTCACAGTAGGGTTAGTGTGACCATTGTCTGGGGAATTACTGAGCTGTTTGGTGCCAGTTGGGCCTTCTGTATTAGTGTTTTTGCTTATTGAGCTTAGTTGGCTTCTATGTGACTTAATTTGTTGTGCTTCTACTGGGCTGCCGGTATTGTGGAATTTGGAGGCGTTTAGGAGGTGTAAGACTGAGACTCTTGGGCATCTCTTTTTTTTGGCATCTTGATTAGTTGTGAAGCTGGGTCAGTTACATGGTGGAAGCTGTGGGGTGTGAGTGTGGCTTCTGGGGCTTGGGTGGGGACCAAGGGGGCCCCAGAGTTTTCAGCCCGAAGACGGGGTTGTTTCCATGGCGTCAGCTGTGGGGTGTGGGCGAGGCTGCTCCGGACGGGGACTGGCCTGCTCCGCTCCTGAGAGCGCCCCTGAGTTTCCAGCTCGGAGACCAGCGCACTGTTAGTTCCAGGGGCATCTCTTCTGAGATTAGCCATGGTGCTGGGTCAATTTTTTAAAGGCTCTGATTTTTTCAATAAGTGAAAATATTTTAACGGCTTGAAATATTTTCATCTATAACACTTTTTAAATCTGCTCGTTAAAGAAAAAATTGATGTTTAAAAAAACTAAAGGAAGATCTCTAATTTCTCAAAGTTGGACTGGAGTGATAATGGTACACGGTGTAGTGTTCGTTCTCATTGCAAACAGTATCGCTGTCGGGGCTGGAGAGGTAGGACAGAGGGTAGAGCGCTTGCCTTGCACGTAGCCAACCAAGCTTTGATCCCCGTCACCCCATGTGGTTCCCTGTGCCCATTAGGAGTGCTCCTTGAGCAGCGCCAAAAGTCAACCCTGAGCATCACCCGTGTGGCCACACAGCAGGAAAAAAAAAGTAGAGTTACTGTCAGTAAAGATGAGACAGATATCCAAGGGGGAAAAAAGTCTATTGAATACCTACTATGTGCCAGACAGTATGCTTTATTTTATACTTAATATCCTAGAATTCTCAAACCACACTTCAAGACTTGAATTGTCTCCATTTTCCACTTGGAAAAACTGAGGCCCAGAATTAGTAATAGGACCCCAGTTATACAGCCGGTGAAGTATAAATATGTAAACCTAAGCCTAACCAACTCCAGTTAACAGCTCTATACTATAGTTGGTAGCTTCTTTCTCAGTAATTGACATTCTGTCTTGTTATCTATTCAGTTTTAACTTGTCATGTGATACATTGACTAGTAAAGAGTCAACACTGACAGGGCAGAATCTTTTTATGCAAAGTGATTTTCTAAAGCTTTGAAATAAAGTAATTTGGATTCTTTTCTGCCACAGAATGACATTGGTTGAATGTAATATAAATATATAACTTGCATTTAGTCTAAAGTATAATTTTGGAGTATCTTGGAAATAAAATTGGTTAGTAAACAAGAACCTTAGGGGTACTGGAATTGGTTTACGTGTTTTGAAAATTCTTGGGCTCCTTTTATTCTATAATATACAAAACAGCAGAACTACATGTAGTTTTTAGTTTTATAAGTAAAAATCTAGACAGTGTTTATCTGTAATCAATTGAAGTGTTAAGAAAAACTTGAATATTGGAGTTTTGGGCTTTTACATTTGTATGACCACGGATATTAGAGATGGTTGTGAGACAGATCATTAATACTCAAGTCATTTAATAAGTAATCCTCATACCTTAGCCCCTTAATTACTAGACTTTTTGTTCTTCTTCCATACCTGGAGTGCTCAGGACTTCTTCACTCTGTGCTCAGGGATCACTCCTGGCAGGGATGGGGGACTGTACGTGGTGCCAGGGATAGAACTTGGGTTCTCCATGTGCAAGGCAAGTGTCCAGCCCACTCTGCTGTCTCTCCAGTCCAAATTATGGACATTATGAAATTTGTTGTTTGTAAGTTGATCACCTTTATAGCTAGCGTATGTTTCAGTTCACTGATACGCCAAGCCAAATAGGTTATTGTTTATTTTGGGGCCACACCTGGCAGTATTCAGGGTTTATTCTTGACTGTCCTTAGCGATCACTCCTGGTGGGCTGGGAGCACCATTTGGTGCTAGGGATCAAACCCAGGTCAGCTGTGTGCAAGGCTGTATTGTCACACCAGCCCCAATTTTTAGTAACACTAATAAAATAAATACATATATTTTACTAGATAGTGTTACATATATGTGTGTGTGTGTGTGTATGTATATATATGTATATAGTTTGTTTGCTGTTGGACCACCCCCAGCTGTGCTCAGAGCTTACTCTGGCTCTGACTCAAGGATCACTCCTGGTGTGGAGCTTGGGACCATCCAGGGCGTCAGGGCTCTAACCCAAGTGGACTGCATGTAGGGCAAATGCCATACGGCCGTGTTATCGCTCTGGCCCATAGGAATTTTTTTTGGGGGGGGGCACACCCGGCGATGCACAGGAGTTACTCCCGGGTCGGCCGTGTGCAAGGCAAACACCCTACCCGCTGTGCTATTTTTCCAGCCCCTCCCATAATTTTTTACTTCTATCATTTTAAAATCCCAGGTTTTAACTTTTTAGTTCTCAGCATTTTGTGTACTTACTAATTTCCCATTAATAGAACAGTAATTAAATAAAAATAGAACAGTGATTGTGAAATGTGGGTAAAACAGTTTTTCCTGTAATATTAATTAGTACATTCTGAATTTTTTTAAACTCTATGATCACACACAGCTGTGCTTATGGACTACTTTTGAGTTTGTGCTCGGGGGTTCAGGGATTTGCTCTCATGATGTTCTGTGAGGAACTAATGTGGTGCTTGCTGGTAACCAAGTGTACCTTACAAATGGTAAATTCCTTAAGCTATTTTTCTCAGCCTCTGAGATGTTCTGGATACTTGGGTCTGGAAAGTGTACATTGTATAAGCTTACTTGTCTCTTAGTTCTTTTGTTACCTTATTATAAAGCATTCCACAGTGGGGCAGCAAGGAGCTAGACATTGTGATTCAGGATCTGATAAGTAAATATCTGTTGTCGATAGTAAGAAGGAGAATGTTTAACTTAAGGAATCTGAAGCAGCCATTAGTATTTTTCTGCTCAGTTATTGTTCACACAAACCAGATTACAGATTCTCCTTCTCATAGGAATTCTGAAAGATTTTTGTTTAATCTGTCAAGTTTATGGTTTCTTTTTGGGGAGGTTGCAAGACTTGGTGGTACTTGACTACTCCTGACTGCTCAGGGGTCCTTATGTTATGTTGGGAATCAAGCCAGGGCTTGGCTACATGTAAGACGGTGCCTTAACGTCTAAACTGTCTTTTCGGCCTCTCTGGTTTATGATTAGGCCTGCACGTTAAAAAGCATGGGTATAAAACTGTTTTCTAAAGAATGCTTTTCTCTTGGAGCATTAAGGACATTTGCGTTTGTATATTTGAATTGCCCTTCTTTTGCAGTTCAGTATTTTAAATTAGTTATTGCACTTTATTATTTACATTGCTGTTCTTTTAAATGACTGACCAAAAACCTTTTTTTTCCCCACCCCCACCCCCTAGGGAAAGGCGGAGGCGGAGAAGCAGGAGTTCTTCCAGATCACCAAGAACATCAAAAACCTTGAAAAGGAAATCTTCTAGGTCTCCATCCCCTAGGAGGTAGGAAGGACGCATGTGCTAGTGCCAAGATCGATTCAGGGGTGAAATTTTTCAGTTGGTATTTTTGCTATGATCATGGCGTACTCCTGGCTCTGTGCCGAGAGATCACTCCTAATGACTTCTCGAGATCTTATGTGGTGCCAGGAACACACGTGGGTCCATTGCTTGCAAGGAAGCCTCCTGGCCCTGCCTGCCCTACTAGCGCTCTCTCCCCTCTTCAATCGAGTTTTTAATGTTAAACAGTTTGCATGTGTAATATGTAATGTATCTATGTGGCTCAGAACTCAAAACAGTATAAAAGGTATACATTCATAGGTCTTAGAATACAGCCCTTGTAAGAGTGGATTGGGGTATTGTGCAAAAGTGGATAATGATGGGGAACTGTTCCTTGATGAAACCACGTTTTTCTATGCTAAGTTACAGTGTATTAATGTTGCTAAGAATATGTTGTCAACATTACAGTAGGACTTGAAATTTTAGGAGTGACATATTGCTAATGTTCTTATAGCCGAAATAAGAAGGATAAAAAGAGAGAAAAAGAAAGGGACCACATCAGTGAAAGAAGAGAAAGAGAACGTTCAAATTCTACAAGGAAGAGTTCTAATGATAGAGATGCAAAGGAAAAATTGGAGAAGAACAATACTTCACTTAAAGTAAGCAACAGTTAACTGGTTGTTCAAATAATTGAAATAGTTCTTTAGTTAGATTGGTGTCATTTTAGATAGAAAAAAATCTTCAGAACCAGTGTCCTGTATGTTGTTGGAGTCTTTAATATTTTTTTATTGATAATCGCTTAAATACATTTTTAAATAATCATTTTAATACTTTTTAAGTCTTTAATATTTTTTGATAATCGTTTTAATACATTTTTGAAGGGGCAATTGAAATGTAAATGATTGTACTTCTTAATTTAGAGAATCACAGTAGCACATACGGTAAGAGAAACTTTATATATAGGTAACATTTTGATTTTGTACAAAGATTCCTACTAGAAGCTGTCTTTCTCAATTTTAGCAAATTTAAAAGGTGTTTTGTTGTCACTGGTTTTGCAGTACATACTACAGTTAGGCTTGTGGAGACAGTTTGTGGTTGGAAGTTTGCATGTTGTGGGTGGAGGATGCAGGGATGGGCACTTAGGATACAGAAGGGACCTCTAGGACAGTGATGGTTGGAAATGATCATTCTGCACAAGAATTGAGTTATCTTCTGAAAGGAGGTAAAGTGATATATTTTATAACCTTTCTGTATCTATATCGCAAACCATAATGCCAGAGAAAGAGAAGAATCTGCCATAGAGACAGGTTGGGTTTGTAGGAGGGAAACCGGGGTCATTGGTGTTGGGAGGGGTATTGGAACATTGCATGACTTTGTAACTTTATAACTCAGGTGATTCAGGTAAAAAAAAAAAATCAAAAGAATAATAAATCTAGGCATGTTAAATTGGGTTAATTAATCAAAAGTTTAATTCTACCATGCACACCATGCAAGTTTTGTTTGGGGCAGGGGCAGAGCTGGGATACATTTTATTTTATTCATTTATTTACCCCCTTCACCCCCCCAAAAAAAAATCAAAGGTTTTTTTTTTCTTTTCGGGTCACATCTAGCAATGCTCAGGGGTTACTCCTGGCTGTGCACTCAGGAATTACTTCTGGTGGTGCTCAGGGGACCATATGGGATGCTGGGAATCGAACCTGGGTAGGCTGTGTGCAAGGCAGATGTCCTCCCCGCTGTGCTATTGCTCCAGCCCCTCAAGGGTTATTCTTAAAGGTTTGTTTTAGAATTGAATGGTGCAAGTTGGATTCTTTGGATGTACTTTTATAAGATACAATGGAAGTCACTTGTTTCAGTAGAAATAAGAAACCACATTTCCCACTACAGATCAAGTACCCTGTCCTTCAGGTTGTTTTCTCTAGAGAGTGATTACATTTTAAGTACTTGCAAAGGACATTAATTTTATTTTACTGGGAATTTGGAAATTCAGTTGAGTTTTGGAGTTCTCATCTTGCAGTTTTATTTACTGAGAATAATAGAGGTTTATCGTTGATGACCTCTGTTGAGTGCTATTACACTTACCATCATTTCGTTCAGATTCTTCTTGAAGCTGGGGATAGAATTTGGACTTTTTTTGAAGTCTGTTTTTGGGCCACACCCAGCAGTGCTAGAGACGGGGTCCATCTGCTCTGTGTTGGGGTTTGCTTCTGGCAGTGCTCTGGGTACAGGGTTGTGCAGGGATAGACCTGGGCCTCCAGGGTGAGCTGCATGGAATCAAACCTTGAGCCATCCCCCAGTTCCTGGAATGTTTGACTTTTACTAGGAGGAATAGACTTTTGCTGCTTTTTCTTACTTTGCTTTTTTGATATCCAAATCACAGATCTCTCCTGTCATCATCAGGAGCTATTTTACTCATTCAGTATAAATGCTCCAGGTTTAATAAGCAGCAGTTATTCTATACTTTCTTAGCATCTTGGAAAATTTTTTTCTCTGTGTGTGTGTGTGTGTGTGTGTGTTTTGTGGTGGCAGGCATTAAACTGAGAGCCTCCTACATGTAAATGCTCTACAGCTGAGTTGTATTCCTGGCCCACTGTTTGATAAAAGAATCTATGTGTTTGTGAACCTTACTAATAGTCACGGTCACGGTCCTCCCGTTGTTCATCGATTTGCTCGAGCGGGCCCAGTAACGTCTCCATCATGAGACTTGTTACTGTGTTTGGCATATCGAGTACGTCACGGGGAGCTTGCCAGGCTCTGCCGTGCGGGCGAGATACTCTCGGGAGCTTGCCGGGCTCTCCGAGAGGGGCGGAGGAATCGAACTTGGGTCGGCCGTGTTGGCTGCTTGTAAGACAAACGCCCTACCGCTTTGCTATTGAAACCTTACTAATATGAAAAGATAATGAGGGGAAATAAAACAGTTTTTAATTAGAGATAAAACTTACATACTTTAGCCATAACCAGGTATAATAGTGGGTAAGAAAAATTCTAAGTGTATATTTTAATGTTTATTTTAGGAAAAGGAGCACAATAAAGAACCAGATTCAAATGTGGGCAAGGAAGTAGAGGATAAGGATGCAGCAAGGACTGAGGAAAACAAAGTCCAGCAAAATGGGAATTGTCAGCCAAATGAAGAAAACCTCTCCACCAAATCAGAAACAGTATAGAAGGGACAAGTGCACCTCTGAAAACATGCTGGAATAAAATCCAAAGCTCTTAATTCTCAGCAAGATGTTAAGCAGTGAAGAAATCCAGTTGAACAGAAAGATAGGGACAGCTTTTCTGATTGTTACAAGACTCTGTGCCATCTTGTTACTGAGTAAGAAAACTAAGCATGGACATCTTGAAAATAACAGATGTTACTCAAACTCTTCTTCTTCTAAAATCTACATTTCCATGGTGGCTGACACACATGTCATGTGGTTTGTTAGTGTTTGCCAAAAAAAATTACAGATAAATGGGACATAAAAGATACAAAATTACACTATCCGTAAAGACTGGAGATAAACAAAGGTTCTTTTAAAAAGATGCTAGTTACTGAATTTTGTATTGTTTTGCTTTCTTTTTAAATTTCAGTATATACAGATTAATGATGTGCTTGAAATCGGTGCAAATATATACACACCCTTGTAAGTGCAGAATATGTAAGACGTTTTATTATTACTTCACAGAATTTACAGTGGTTGTGTTAAATTTTCACTATTGTGTTTCCTTTTGCTCACGGTCGGGGCAAGTTTTTCTTTAAAATAGTTTTACGGATAAAAATTGCTTTAATAAGTGGATTAAAAGAACAACTGACAATGCATGCTACTGTTCTCTTTCAAAGGGAAGAGCAACTGTGTTGAATACTAACAGTGCATTAGTATTCATTGTTTAGAATCATTGGGTCTCCCCACAAAGTAAGCATCTCATTTTGAGTTTTCTTGACATTTCAAAGCTTATTATGAATAATACTGCAGTGTATTTTGTCAGCTGTAGATGGCTAAGGTGCCGTTATAAACGAAACAAAACCCGAGTTTTCAAAATGGGCTATGGGAGCACAAGCTAAAGCTTTAGTGCCTTCTACAATGTGGTATACTGTTTTTCTAGAATTTTATATATGGTATTCATTCTCAGTTCATGGAATTTAGATGGGTATTCCTTTCACTCCCATAGAGAAGTGTGTAAGTAGTATTTCAGAAGAGCTTATTTCATCTGATAAAGAGAGGGAAGTCCTGTTTCCAACAATGAATTTAATTATTAAAACAACAATGCTGTTTTGGGACCATCAATTTTATACTGTGATAATTAAAAATGAAGCATGTTCTTATTTTACTTAAAATCAGAGTAGTAAATCCTTCAGTTGTCGATTTTGGATGGCCTTAATTATTACCTTCAATCATTATTTCATAAAGTGATTGTATGGTTGGTTGTCCTATACTAACAATATGTTTACTTGAGTTTAAAAATATAGGTCATCTGTTCTTAGACTCACTCTTTGCAGAAAGTATGCAAGTAGTAAAATGACAACATTGCTGATATTCTCCTCAAACACTTAACTCATAGTTGAGGAACTTTTCATCATTATAATTAAAAAAAGAGATACTTTTAAATTAGTGTATTATTTTGAAATCAAGTATAATTATTCTCATGCATTCTGTTACAATCAAATTACTCAGTTGCCTTACCTCATGGGAAGAGTGAGTTAGAGATTTAAAAAAAGCTTAGTGGCACATTGGTTACTTGGTTCCAACTTGAGTTTTCTTTTAAAGTTGATAATATTAATTGAAAGTGTTTGGTGACAAAATGAAAAGAATTGCCCTTATTACAAGTAATGAAGTTTGATTATGAAGCTGCTTAATTACTCCTCATGTTTTCAGAATTACTGTTTTTCCAAGCCCTCCCCTTTTTGTCACTGTGTATATTAAAATTTTTGAAGATGCTTTACTATGTAAAGTATAAATGGTCATTGTAATCATTCAGCCACATACAGTTGGCTGGTAAACAGCTTATTTCTGATACAAGGATGCTTGGGTGCACATGGAAAGATTGAAGGAGTGTGTGTCTTGCATCAACCACTGTCTTATTTATAATATGTAAGTAGAATAGAGCAAATGTTTGGATCTTTGTTATTTTTAGTACCATTTCTCTAATAAAGCTAAGTATTTTAGAGGAAAGTATTTGTTTATGCGTTTCCAAACAGCCTTAGTTTTGTTTCAGAATTGTTTTGCATGGAGAGTACATGTTTTGTGGTGTCTATAAAACAATCATTTAAAGTCTGAGTCTTTTCCTGTACCCTGAACTCCTGTTTTTTTAAATGTTGGTAATTAGCATATTTAATTTGGTTCCTGCTGTTATTTTTTTTGCTTACATAGATTCACCTTTAAAATAATTAAAATGATTTTTAAAGACTTATTTGTAAAAGTTGAATTTGAATAAAAAATACAGGAGAAAGTGAAATCATTTTTTAAATGGGCTTAAACAAAAAAATTCCAGGGTGTAGAAGTATAGGTAGAGGACGGGGCAGGGTGTTTGTGGGTAAAGTGGTTATACTTGTATCTTTTTGTTTACTCATAAGTGTTAACATCTTTTTTTTTCTTTCAAGGTGTTCTGTGTTTTCTTTTATGTATTACCTCTTTTTCTTTATCCCAGATAGGTGTCAGGAACCCTTGAGGTAAGGCCAAGAATGCAGTCATTTTACACTTGTTTCCTTCTGTAATTATCTTTTTCAGCTTAATTATACAGAGTACACTCCGTTCTTTAAATTGTAGTTGCTGTTCATCATTCTAGAACAATTCTGTTGGTCCTCTTGTTTTCTTTTCAGCAGTGCACACTGAACTAGTAACATCAGGTCTTTCACAAGCTAGAGAAAACAAATACAGATCTGTCTATAATTGTAAAACTAGTCAGGTTGTGATTTTCTATTCAGAATTATTTTTTCAGGGGATTTAATATTAATTTTCAGACATGTCAGAGACTTATATTTTGACATGCTTAATTAAATTAAAAACTGGCATAGTTGATAATTTTTGTTCACTGAAATAATTTCTTTTGTGTTAATAGTCATCTTAGAATCCTCATTTCGACATACATGTTGCTATCTTAAATCTCAAACAACCTTAATTCAAATTGTCAACTGAGTATGTTCAAATATAAGGATTATGATGTGTAGTGATAGGCTTTTGAAAGTTTTAAAGTATTCTATTAGAAATAATGTGATTCTGATTTACATTGTGTGCGTGTGTGTGGTGCAGGTTGTATAACCCAGGACTTTCACACACACAAGGCAAGTACTCTTCTGCTGTGCTATATTCCTGATCTGACTAAACCTTTATTTAGTTGCTGAATTAGGAATAATGAAGTTTGGGAAAGGTGCATTGAGTAACAACACTTCAGTGAGTCATTTCTTATATTTTCAATAAAATAATCATGTGGCTTATAAAATAGTCATTTCTATAGTTACGTTCCTTGTGTGTTTTAGAATTTTTTTAATTTTTACTACTTATCTACTTAGTATTTTCTTGTGTTTACTAATGTAATCACGTAAAATTGTTTATTTTCAAATTTTAAAAGTTAGTGCTCTTAAAAAGGGCTGAATTATATTTCTGGAAACAGGAGTTGAGTATAAATGTAATAAAAGAATCTTTTAAAATAAAATTGACTTCCCTACTTAATCTTGGATTTTCCAGTGAATTTATTTTTCCTCAATACACTTTTATTGGTTGTTCTTCTCAAAAGTGGATATATTGTTTTAAAAATAAAGTACATCAATAATTTTGGTTCATACTTTCTTAGGTTGGATTTAGTCACTAATAGTTAGATTTCATTCCATCCCACTTTAAGGTACTCGTGTGTTGTTTCTAGGAATTTATTACAGTTGGTTTATGACATTTTCTTTATAGTGTTAGTTTATTGTTTAAAAGCTAGTTTTCAGTCCATTGCCTTTTAAGGTTGATTTTGTATCTAGCTGTCAATTTCCTTTAGAGTAAAATTTCGTTGATTTACCATTGGTTTATAGAGCTGCACTTCGTACCTCTGTTGGTACGCCTGCTGGTTCAGCACACACACCACCAGTGTTTGAATGCCCACTTCTCTCACGTGATATGTGTTCTTACTGTCACTCTGTTTTCCTTTCACTCAGCCATAAATTTCTGAGAGTCCAAGACTGGGAGTGGCTTGGGGCGGGGGCAGGGCAGGGGAGGGGAGTCGTGCCCGGCCGTGCTTAAGGCTCACTCTTGGCTCCATGCTCAGGGATCATTCCTGGCATGCTCGGGACCATACGGGGTTCTGGGGATTGAACTGGGTTGGTAGCATGAACTGCAAGCACCCTCCCACTGTACTATCTATCACTCCAAGTCCCTGCAAGAGAGTTTTGTTGTGATTGTTAGTTCCTTTAGTTATTTCTATTCCACATATGACAAATCATTTGGTAATTACTTACGGATTTTTTTCTCAGCATGTTCACCTAAGGGCTGGAGCACAGCGGTAGGGCGTTTGCCTTGCACGCAGCCAACATGGCCGACCCGAGTTCGATTCCTCCGCCCCTCTCGGAGAGCCCGGCAAGCTACCGAGAGTATCTCGCCCACACGGCAGGGCGTGGCAAGGTACCCGTGATGTATTCGATATGCCAAACACAGTAACAACAAAGTCTCCAATGGAGACGTTACTGGGCCCGCTCGAGCAAATCGACGAACAACGGGAGGACAGTGACAGTGATGTTCACCTAAGGGTATATCTTTTTTGTCCCCCAAAGCACTATTTTTTAGCAGCTCACATATTTAGTACAATATATATACATATATATAAAATTATAACCATATATATGTATGTTTACATATAACCACACACACATAGGTTTTCATGGAAAAGCTGGTCCTTCTAGGAGATTGAGTCTGTTTGCTATGCTGTCCATGCAGGTTTTCACTTCTGACATTTCCTTTAATTTTTGACTTGGGTTTGGTTGGTGAAGAAAGTTCAATCTGTTGAACTCAATCACTTCAGTGGCCAACTTGTTCGTTGGTGTTTTTTAGGCCCACACCTAGTTGTCCTTGGAGCTTACTCGTAGAGGTGCTCAGGGAACTGTATGCAGTGATGGGGATAAAACCAGGGTTGGCCGCATGCAAGGCAGAGCCTTAACCCTTGTCTTATCTCTTTAGCACATTAGTGGCTGTCTTGGGGCAGGTCTTGGGCCAAGAGGGTGTAAAGTCTTCTTTTCCTCCATGTCCTTGTGACATACCTGCTGGCCCATGTGAGAATGAAGCCCGTGGCTCTAATACCGCCTCTCATCCCAGCACCGGAACCTGTGACCGACAGTATTGTTGCTCTATTCAGACATCCTGAGTTTTCAGGTTGAAGGGGAAGGCAGGGTCATGGCCTTCGCTGCTCTTGGTGAAGTTGCTGGGATCTGCGTGTCCCAGCAGCCAGCTTCAGGAGGCTCTGGTGTTCTGACCCATGGAAGGAGCTCACGTAGTGCTGGAGAGTTGCAGTTTCCATTGGTCCTCTGCCACTGCTGGGGCTGCAGCCCTCACCCTCGCTAGTCTGTCAACATGTCACTTTGGGGCACTTAAACAATGCAGGTGAGTGGAGCAATCAGATGGCTCTGTTAGAACTGATGTGACTGATATAACTGGATCAATTATGAGTTGTGCTAATTTTTTAATTTGTGGGGTAGTTCACACTTGGCAGGGTGGGGTGAGGGGCTGAGGTGCTGGGGGTTGAACCCAGGGTTTCTGCTTGCAAACACAAAGGGTGTTCCAAACCCTTTGTTCCATCTCTGGCCCTACTAGCTGTGTCCTAAGGGTATTTTGTTTTTTTTCCCCTGGCATGGTTTAGCTACAGTGTTTGGGAGCCATCTCCTTGCTAATACTCTAGGAAATTTTCCAGCTTTGGGGAAACTTAATAAACTTTAATTTTTATTTATTTATTTTTTTCTTTTTGGGTCATACCAGGCAATGCACAGGGGTTACTCTTGGCTCTGTACTCAGGAATTACCCGGCGGTGCTCAGGGGACCATATGGGATGCTGGGAATCGAACCCGGGTCGGCCGCATGCAAGGCAAATGCCCTACCTGCTGTGCTATTGCTCCAGTCCCAAACTTTACTTCCAAGATTAGCATTTTCCCCAAGATTGAATGAAAAATTAGTTCCTTCCATTCTTTTAGGTAATTTCTTAACACGTTCAATTTATGAAAAGTATTCTGTAAGAGTTAGAGTTGAAGAAATTGAGTTGTTCTACCAGTTTTTGCTTATGGTAGACAGGAGATTTGGGGAAATCTATGATTTTTTTTTTTCTGATTTCTGTGGAGGAAGTACACTGTGTGGTTACATAGGTAAGTCAGCTTAGCAGTGAAAATAATGCTCTATATCTTGATAAGGTTAATGTAATAGTACTTTTTTATATAATACTATGGATAATCAAGGGAAAAACTTTAAACATGCTGTATCCTTACTGTGTACATCAATAGGAACAATATATGGTACAAGTAAAGGTTAATCAAATATTACGGCTATTATGTAATGTAACATTATAAGAGGAAAATGTTAAAATTTTGCTGTTAGTAATATTTTCCATTTCTGAAAAATGTATTTTTATGAATTATATTTCTACCATAACTTCAATAATAGGATTTTTCAGGGTGTGAAATTAGAGATTTTTTGTTTTGTTTTGCTTTTTTGGGTCATACCTGGCGATGCTCAGGGATTACTCCTGGCTTTGCACTCAGGAATCACTCCTGGCAGTGCACAGGGATATGGGATAGTGGGACTAGAACCCGGGTCGGCCACGTGCAAGGCAAATGCCCTACCCACTGTGCTATCACTCCAGCCCCTGAAATTAGAGATTTTTTTTTCCGGTGGGAGGAAGGTATCCACATTCAGGGCTCTGCCTCTGCATGCAAAGTGTGCATGGCATGTATTGAGCCCTTCGAGTTCCTCTTCTAACCCTAACTGGAATCTTTGAGTTTTTTTGCCTTTTTAATTATTATTATTTTGTAATTGAATCACCGTGAGATGCACAGTTACAGAATTGCTCATAATTGGGTTTCAGTCATACAGTGTTAACACCCGTCCCTTTACAGTCAACATTTCCTACCACCCATGTCCCCAGCCTTCCTGTGCCAACAGCCGCCTCCCTCCAGTCTGCCTCTGTTGGAAGCATTCAGAAGACTCTCTGCCCTCCTCCCTCTCTCTCCACTAACCCTACCCCACCTTATTCCTTTTGTGCATTATGGTTTCCAATACAGACCCCGAAAGGTTATGTATATTCCTTTACCTACAGCACATAGCTGGAGCCTTTTAAACTTGGTTGATTCAGGTTCTATGACAATTTGTCAAGGCTTTGCATGTTAGACATTTTGTAGCATTCTAGGAAGTGCTGTGTTTTTGTCCACAGTGTCAGTTTCTTACTACAGACTTTGTGTTGTGGGAATTGCCACTCCTTGTCTTTGATCAGCAAATAGGATGCCTCCTTCCATATATCAGAGTATAAGCTCCAGACGTGGTGTATGGATCTCTGTGCTCGTACTGGTCATTTAAGAAGCCTGTTAATAAAAATGCCTCCCCCAAGTTGGCTGTCAGATAAGTGAATGCAGAATGCTGTGTGACCTGGTGCCTTAGTTTAGTTTTTCTAAAAGGCTGCTTGTTTTCTTTTTTCTGTGATGTCTGGGATCACAGCACAGCTGCCACATTCAAACAATAGTGCTGCCAGGACTGTGCTCCGTGCATGTGGAACACTGCGGATCTTGGACCCATTTCTATACTTGCAGGGTTGCAAGGTAGGCAGTCTGAGCCACTGGGGTATTCCTCCAGGCCCTATGCCGTATCTCTCTCTAACTTTTTATTAGAGAGCCATGATTTACAAAGATAGTGGTAGTTACATTTTAGGCATACAGTAATTCCCACACCAATCCCTCCACCAATGTTCCCAGATTCCCTCCCCATCCCAACCCCCACTCCACCTCTGTCAACTTGACAGGCACATTACAAAATTCAGTGGTTGCCATTTAGATACCATGTTTTCAATTCTGTTGATTCTGTGTTTCTATGCCAGGCTTCTTTATGTAGAATAGCTCTTGGGCGTGCTTCAAATACTGCGTGTGTGAGGATGAGGTGGCTTGAGAGAAGAGAGGCTTCAGAGCATCCCCACTGCTCGGAGCAGGTACAACCAGATCTCCACTTCTTAGGACGCATTTATATTATTAACGATTATTGTATAGTAGGAACGAATAGATAAATGGTATAAGGTAGACTGAAGAGTCGTCATGTCTCTTAAGTTCTTACCTTTCGAATCTGTTTGATATATTTAAGCGTAATTTAAGGATATGAGGCCTAATTGGTGAACTTTACTTGGTACTGAAAAGTTTTGTCTCCTGTAGATATTTTTAAACAACATTCTGCTAACAAATTTAGAGCCTTTACTTTGAGTTATTCTTAAGTTTTGAGGGAACTATTGCCACTGCTAATATAATCTGTACTCTGAAAGTCAAACCTTGTGCGGGGCGCCCCACTGCTCTCTCCGACTGCCTCCACTGAGGGAACAAGATCTCTACTGTTAATCCTTGAAAAGTCACTCTGCTTCTTCATGACATTTTGTCCTGCGCCTCAAGTACTGCTTCACATATGGTTAATTGGGTCTAGACCCACAATTGCCTGAAATCATTGGAATCTTGCCTCTGCAG